TTAGTTCCAAGTCCCAGAAGGAATGAATGTTTTAGAGGCCAGAAAGAGAGCTCCTGAGCTTTGTGACGTGTTCCTGGCCCTGGGACTTTCACTTCTCCTTTGGGCAAAACTTCTCTCCCACAAAAGTGAGTTCAGATCCTTGTACATCAGTGCAGTCAAAACATGTCACATTCAATTTGTTTCTCCTTGAAATGCTGCGAGTCTCTGCCCACAGTTGCTTTTCATTTAGCAATGCAAGTCTATATAGATAACTCGGCTTGGCTTTGGAGGCTGCATAATTGCTAATGAGAAAATATACTTAACGTCCTCATTAGTTGGTCATTTGAAATATTTTTCGGCACACTAGGGTGTTTGTGGTAATCGGTGTTACTTAATGCAGAAGCAGGCTTAAATAGGAGAAACATTGCCTGGATAAAACCAGACACCAGCAAGTGACATTTAAATGGGAACAAGATAGCCGTAAGAAACAACATGGCTAACACATGTTAGATCTACAAAGTCAGCAGCAGGTCTAAGACTGCTAAAAGAGTAGTTGCTGGAGGCTTCTCAGAAGCCCCTCTCAAACTGCCCTGCTTCACAGGATGACTGCAGCCCAGTCCGGCCCCCTCCATGGCACTGTCTCCTTATCTAAATGTAGAGGAGATGGGGTCAAATGCACTCCCTTGACCCCCTCTACCCTTCTGACTCCCTGACCCTCTAACTGTTACATCTGCTGCAGTTCTGCTGTGGGCACAGGTCAGCATTTCCCAAAGCTGGGGGCCCAGAAAGTGCTGCAGTGTTTGCTTAAAAGCGGATTCCCAGGCTACAGCCAGACCTCTCGAATCAGAATTGGGAGGAAGGGGAAGCAGACAAGTGCCTCGGATGATTCTTTGGCATGCTGGGGTTTGAGAACCTTCAATAGAGATTCACAATCACAAGTCAGTCATTCCTTCAATTTTCCAGCTTTTCTTGGGGTTGGGAAGAGATAAGCAATAGATATATACGTTTTTCAGAAATTAATGTATTTTACACATATTTATTGAGTAGCTGATGGATGTCATGCACTACATAACTGTTGAGATGTCTTTCGTGGGAGGAGAGGAGTTTTGTGAGTCTTTTGAGGAGGGGCAGGCGGTTAGATCAGAAAAGAAGAAATTTGCGGGAAAATATACTCATTGCCAATTTGTTTTCATTGCCAATTTTTAAAACACCACTTTTTAAAATGTAAGGACATAAGAATACATCTAGATTGTTTGACTCATAGAATGATCACATTTAAAACATTTTGATATATAAAGACTCAGAGAAAGTAGCCTTCTACGGAGTGAAAAACACGTCCTTAGGATAATTTTACATATTAGGCAGGGCTGAAAGGGAGATGCTATTAAAGCACCACCTTGCCAACTTTTAGAACTGGTGTTCTCCAAGGCTCTCTCTTAATTCCCTTTTAAATATTTTATTTTAGGCATAGGCTGTTGCTCAAGTCTGACTTGCACAGCTGTGCTATTGCCATATGAAGTGTGTAGACTCACTGGAGTTTGAATAATATCCATTGCCGTTTGCAGCTCTTGGCCATTATTCTGGGTGCTTCAGAGAAATCTCCACTAGGGCTGGCTGTTAGTAACTGTGTAACACTGTGACTCTGAGTTGTCTACTGTAAGGCCAGAGTTCTGGTAGACCAGTTATGTCTACTGGCTGCAATAAAAAAAAATCAAGGCAAACAGGGGAAAAAATTTCATTTTAAAAGACTTTTTGTATTTGGCCTATATTTAATTGGCATGATCAGTAGACAAATATTTCTGTATTTTCTTCAGTGAGCCCCAGATCTATCCAGTTCTAAGAGAATAATCTAGAAGAGCCCAGAAGCAGGGCTGGGGGTCCAGTGCTTCCAACTTCAGTCTAAACTGGTAGGTCAGGCAGAGAAGAATCTAAAGTGTTTTGCTATTCAAATCTTATATTCAATAGAAGAGACACTTGACTTCTCCCTTCCCCCTCTAGTTCCCCCCCTCCCCCCCAGTTGCTGGTGGCTCAGGCTGAATCCAGTTTGACTCCAGAGTTCTGGGATGTGGACCAGAATCACTGCAGGTGCAGCCCATAGGATTTGGCGTGAGCCTGGCAGGCCAGGCCTGCTGGCTTTCCTCCTCACTGAGCTCCATCAGAGAAAAGTACACACACACAGGGCGGCAGAGACTGCATCTCCCTGTGTGCAGGAGGCATGAAATGTGAGCCAGCAGGAGCAGAGGCCTGCAGAGGACCCTGTGTGCTCTCATGGGTTTTGAACAAATATTAGAAGCATAGGTTGTTGTGTTGTAAGCCATGGTTTCAGGAAAGTCAGTGCAGACAGGAGCTGTTGGGTCCCATTCCTGGGGAAAAGTTTACATCCTATGGTCTTTTTACTCTCCATTTAACCACTGTTTTTTTTGTTTGTTTGTTTGTTTGTTTTGTTTTAATAATACTTAATCAATATCAGATTCTAGGCAATCACATCATACCTGGTGCAATTTACCAACATATACAATCACTGAATGCAAGACCCAGAAGGAATCTTAGGGATAAGCTAATCCTGTTGATTACTGTCTTGGAGGCAAAAACAAAACCAGAGAGGCTAAGTGACTCAACTAGAGCTACAGAGCAGTTCAGTGCTAGAGCCTGGTTGAGGATCCAATGACCTGCTTGCCTGATCCATCATACTTTGTTCTGTTCCATAGCACCACTCATTTGGCTTTTAAAAGGCAGTCCTGCCCTGAATGTCATCCTGCCCTTGGGGAACACATGGAATTAGAGTCATAAAAGAGGAGAAACTGGGAAAAATTTAAATCCCTTTTCCCATTCTCCTCCAGTTAAGAGTGTATATGCTGAAAGGAGAAGGTGGGAAATGGGTACAACACAGGCTCATGCTGATCCCTGAATGTCCCTGGGAAAGGAGGATTGCTTCCTTCTGGACTTTGCTCCATCACATCACAGAAAATCCAGGGCCTCCCAGAGTCCCAGACACTGTGTGTGATTGTTGGGAACCGAGGAGTCGGGGCTCTGAACTGGACCCAGAATTACAGATCTTACAAAGCCAGGGCTGAAATTTAGAAACCTGCTTCAGCCCAGCCCCCTATTTTATAAATATTGAAACTGGGTGCTGCTGATAGTTCCAAGAACTGACAACTTGTGAAACATGTTCTGCATAGCAGGCCCTTCACATGGTTTTTCAAATTTAATCATCACAACAGTTTGAGAAAGGTTTTGTACCCATGTTACAGAGGAGAAAATTGAGGCTCAGAGAAGTGTTACAGTATTTAACATATTAGGGACCAGACAAAACTTGGATTAAAGTAGGTTGGCTCTCTGTCTAATGATTCTTAAGTTATTTTTATGCTGTGTACTGGAAAAACACAAAGAAAAAGAAAGGCCCAGTTAGACAAGTGCCGCATTTCCTCACACCCAGATAGCTTTGCAATAAGTAAATTGTGCTTATTGCCTGTTTCTTATTGACGAATTCTCCTCCCACCAGGTTAGAGAAGAGTGGCAAACTTCAGCATTACCTTGACTGTTCTTTCAGTGAAAAAAAATCCAACAATTATTTGTTGATATGTGCCAGTCACTGTGCTGTTGACAGAAACATGGGACCCATGAATATATACCTGGGAAGCTTCAATTAGAGTAAAGCAAAATGCTTTGTAAAGATTTCAGAAATGATCCCGTAGGCTGCCAACTAGTAACATCAGGCACGGTAGTGCCTGGAGGTGTAGGACTTATGGCCTAAGTCTTAAGTCTTGGCTGTACCACTGCTGGGTATGTAACTGGGAAAGCTTCTTAATTCTATGAGCCTCAATTTCCTTATCTGTTAAGTCAAGATTAACATCCATGCCCCATAAGGCTCAACTGAGAGAAGGGATGCAAAATCACGCTTAGTCCTGTTAAGGTGAAGGAAATGATGTGCATATGTACTTGAGTGTTTCAGCATATCTTTTAAATCTCTTTGTTGTTGGTTGTCCCTTGATTATTATCTTGGTATATCAACCTTCCTGCCCAAAGCAGAAATGTTTTCCCTTCAATGACTCAAGCAAGAGCCTGGTTCTACCGGAATACCCAAATGCTGCTAGAGCCTTTATTTCTACTTGTACCCTTCTACTTGTACCTTTATTTTCCTGGGACTTTCTAGATCAATGCAGTCCAACAGATCTTTCTGCAGCAATGGGAATGTTCTACACCACATTCAGTTATTGAACACTTGAACTGTAGCCAGTGTGGCTGAGGAACTGAATTTTAAATTTTAATTAATTTAAGTAGCCTCAAGGCCTCAGATGGCACGTAGTTACCTGGGCTCTGTCAAGGACATCTCCCCTTCCTCCACTTTCGGATTTATCTCACAGAGATCCATCAACATCAAGCAGAATTACTTCTTGTGTCCTGTTGGTTAATTCTGATTCTCAGACTTCAACAACTACAGTCCCGATAAATCCCAGATTTTCTGGTTTAGTGGACCTGAGGTGGGGCCTGGATTTGTCATTTCTAACCCCTTCCCAGGTGGTGCTGATGATGCTGGCCCCAAAACCACACTTTGAGACCCACTGGGAGAATTTGGCATCTTGTTGAGAGACTGCTATGCTATAATAGAATCAGCAGAGATGTGAGGTCCATCAGGCCCAGGCCCCATGGGAGCAATTCTCAACATGGGCAGCCCTTTGGAATCACTCAGGGAGCTTTTACAATGCCCTGTGGCCAAACCCTACCCCAGACCAACTACTTTAGAATCTCTGGGGGTGGGGTCCAGACAAGGCATGTTTTCCAGAGCTCCACAGTGGAGACTGGAGAGCCATTGCACTAATGGGATTTGAGCAAATGTCTTTGTCTATGGAATGATAAAATGAAGGTCATTTTATTTCTGTGAGAATCAGATGAGACTGTGAATAGGACCGGGTTTTATAAATGGTGGGATCTAAAATCAAGGACTTAGGCATGGATAGGCTTGTGAGAGCCAATCTGCGAATGAATCAGGAGAACGCTGCTCTCTGTGGTTTGCATTTCAGTACTGCCCTACCGACCAGGCCGCTGCGGGCACAGATGCTGAACACGTGCAACAGTTCTACAACCTTCTGACGGCCTCCATTGACGTATCCAGAGGCTGGGCGGAGAAGATTCCGGGATTTACTGATCTCCCCAAAGAAGATCAGACGTTACTTATAGAATCAGCCTTTTTGGAGCTGTTTGTTCTCAGACTTTCCATCAGGTAATTGCTACGATTTTCTCTTCCTTCAGTCCATTCCTTCCTTTGAAAGAAATTGGAAAGCTTCTGTGTTTATAAATGAACCGTCAGTGAAGAGTCCAATCAAGAAGCAAATATGAAATATGATCTGTGTATTAGTCCACTTTCTATTGCTATATAACAAAAAATCTGAGGCTGGGTACTTTGTAAAAAAAAATGAGTTTTACCAAGATCAGTTCTTTGGAGGCTGCAAACCTGAATACTATGGGGTTGGCCCTCGTACTGTGAATACTATGGCTGTGTGACAGCATAGCAAATGGCGTCATGGTGGTAGCAAGTGCCAGAGGGAGAGATCCCATGGTGAAACAGGGAGCCAGAGAATGGGGAGGAGCCAGGGTTGCTTTTTTATAACAATCCACATTCCTGAAAACTAACTCACTTCATGAGAACTGCATTAATCCCCTCTGAGGGCAGTGCCTGCAAGGACCCAGTCATCTCCCTCCAGGCTCCACCTCTGAGAGGTCCCATTACCTTCCACACTGACCCCTGACGACCAAGTCTCCAACACATAGACACTGAGGGCATAAATCACATCCAGACTGGGGCACTTAGTGCTCAGTAAACACTTTCTGAGTGAAGCAATGCATAATGCTCTTCATTCAAGAACTGGAGCACTGAACCAGTGGCCTGGACCCCTCGCTTCTAGTGCCAGTTCTAATATGAACTAACATGGATAAGACCCTGAGCCAATTGCTTGCCTCACTGGATATTCAGTTCCCTCCTTTCTAAAATGGAGAGGTTGGATTTTTGAAGTCCATGGCAGGTCCAACATTCTAGCCATCCAGGAAGATTTTCTTGGCACTTAAAGGTATTTCCTGGGAGCAAGTATTTGCTTTAGGACATTGCATTTAACTCATTGGTTTCTATTTAACAAGTTACTGTTCCAGTGGACTTGCTGAGGCTCCAGAGAGTTCCCACAGCTTCTCAATCCTCAATGTTTACTCCGAGAACAGCTCCTGGATCCAAAGATTTGGTCCAACCTATCATAATTAATGAAACCAAATGCAAAGAGGAAGTGATTGAGCAAAACACTAGAACCTCAGCTCTAAACTCCCCTTGTAAATTCCACATGTAGACTTTTTCTTAAACTTTATTACTGTTTTTATTCTGGCATAGCACATTTAATTCCACTTTCTTTGTTTCTTTTCATAATTTTTAGGAGATTACACCAACATCTCACCAAGTATTATAGAAAAAAATAAGCATCTTTACCCTCTTTCTCATGCTTACCACCCTCCACCTCCACCAAAGTGCAGGTTCCCATGCATAGTTCCCATCTATTTTGGTTTAGGAGATCTTGGAAGATGTCCAAGAATCTGCATGTTAAACTCATGCTCTGGTAATTCTGATGCCAGTGTTTAGAGAACGTATTTTAAATTCTAAGATTGAATCATCTGTCCTGTGTGTGTGTGCCTTCAGTGGGAGATCAGTGGGAAAGGAGGGGTGGAGTTACAACTAGAATGCCACTGATTAGCTTCATGTGCTGCCAATCCTGTGTACGCCAGAGCCAAGCCAGCAATGTGACCATCATCTATTAGGCACACAGTAAAGGATTAAATAAGCTTCATGCAGGCAGGCACCGTATATGTCCTGCTCACCAAGACCTCTCCAGTGGCTGGCTGTGGGCATGGCACAGTAAATACTCGCTGAGTGAAGAAATGAATGAAGCTGTTCACCCCAGAAGCCCCACTTGAGAGGTATTACCTTGTAAATGCAGTTGTTCAAGAAAAGGAAATGTGTGGCAAGAGATATGAAAGTGAAAGGGAAGCTAAGATTAAAGTAAGGGCAACAGAGAATTCAGAATTAGTTGCACCTAATACTTGGTAACTCTTCCTGTGTGCCAGACACTATGTATGGCTTTCAAATTCTTTATTTTATTTAATTCCCTCCACAATCTTAGGAGGTAGCAATCACAATCCCTGTTTTATCGCTAAGGAGAAGGAAGTCCACAGAGATTAAAGGCGTACCCAAGACCTCCCTGCTAAGCAGTGACGTCCAACTAGAAGCTCCAGGGCGCCTTCCATGAGACAATAACGGGATGATTATGAACATAATATAAATTATCAGGGTAGATTTGGAGAGTCCTCCATGGTATCACTGTTAAAAACAGAAAAGGTAATATAAAATCAGGACTCATTTTTATATTAGGCCACTGTTTAGTTCATGATTGACTTCTGGCACTTGCAGAGAACTGGGTTTTTAAAAGTCTGCAGAATGGAATTGCAGTGTCTAGCCTGAGGCCTTTTCCGGTTTTGACATTTAAGAAAAAATGGACAAGCCCTGACTCAGGATCCCTGAAGAAACAACCTCCTGTTCATTGCAGAGAGAGGCAGTGCACTGGGCTTCATCTCTGTGGTCCATGAGTGCCCGTTCCTCCACATTCTGTCCCAGGATAAGCCAGCAACTGATTCAAGTAAAGACAGCAGGAGCCAAACACCCTACCTTCCCATGAGCTGAGGCTCACTCAGGATGTCAACAGAAACAAGTCATGTGGTGATTAATGCCTAGATACGCAGTCTTGTACATCACAGGTGTCTGGGTGTGCTTCCCAGCACCACCCTGGGTTCCAAACACTGCCCGTGGTCACGTAGAGCCTGTTTCATGTGTCTCTCCCTACCCTCCAGGTCGAACACTGCTGAAGATAAGTTTGTGTTCTGCAATGGACTTGTCCTGCATCGACTTCAGTGCCTTCGTGGATTTGGAGAGTGGCTCGACTCCATTAAAGACTTTTCCTTAAATTTGCAGAGCCTGAACCTTGATATCCAAGCCTTAGCCTGCCTGTCAGCACTGAGCATGATCACAGGTAAGCACCACCCCACCAAAACTCCATGTGATCAATCACGGCCCCTTTGGCTCCTTTTCTGACTTTTGTCAGAAAATTAGGAAATTAGGAAAATGACTGCTACTTTTCCAACCTAATTTCAACAAACATGCATCTGCAACTTGTCATGAACTTCTAAGACAGAGGATTCCTAATCTGTTGAGTTATCATTGTCAACAAACCCAAATATGAAAAATCTAACTTTGTATGGAGCTCTACTGATGGTTGGACCAACTGCATTAGGGTGATTTTCACAGAGTGTTTCCAAGGAAGACTACCTTAACTAGCTCAGTTGTGTGGGACAAAAGTGGTGAAGTCACTTGCTAGTGACTAGAGACACATAAAATATAATTTGATGTAATTGCTTTGATTGGCAGAGGACTGATGTAACATATTCAGTGTCTATATTATGCTCCTCTTTCTCTGTATGTCTCTCCTTTTCTATTTTTAGATCCCTAGGTAGATGGGGTTAGGCGGTGCACATTAGGTAAGGGAAGTTTGTACTGCATCCTTGTAGCATTTGAACCCTGGCTCCCTCCGCTCCTTAGTACTTCCAGGTTCCTCTTGGATTTCATCCTTTTCTGTGAAACTTAGGCCTGGTGAGGCACTGATAGGAGTTTCAGAAGAAGGTACCCAGACCTAGTATCCATCACTGCCTTTTGGGTCACACCCAAACACAGGCTAAGCTGCTGGACTGAGGGTTAAAGTTCAGATTGATATACTCTTAACTGCAAAAAACATGCGTTTCAGGCAGGCGGTGAGTTTCCAGCGGCCCAGATGCACTCTCTTGCAGATGACCTCTTCTTCCTGATGTATCAGAAACATGCATTGGTTTGCCTACACATTGTTAATATGTACCTTCTTGGGGCATTTCCGGTTAGCTGTGTCTGTATGCCCTAAGAGGTTTATGTGTTGAACAGTTTACATGAACCAAAAGAAAAGCAAATGGCACACGTGTGCTGCAGTTTGAAATCAGACACTAGTTGGCTCCTTCAGTGATCCAAGCAGAACTTGACTTTCTCTTGGTCTTTTGTCCTGGATGAAAAACTCACTTCTTTTGGTGGGGCTGTCAGAGACTTTATGTCATTAATGAAAAAAACAAGAGCAGTCTCAAAGAGTATGGTCCTGTTTGGAGGGCTTTCAAATAGTATACCAGAGCACATTTGAGGCACAAGTATCAGAGCATTTCAAAAAGTTAGAAGAAAAATGAAATTAAAAGAGAAGTTTATTTTGGCACCAAAAAATTTGGAGTGCATGCAGTTTTTTCATAACAGCATTTTTTCATGAACATTTTGAAGACTCCACATATTACTCCAGCAGGCCTGTAATGAAAGTGGCTCGAAGGTTACCTTTGAATTAAAAGTCTTCAGATCAAATTCAAAACCATTCATCTCTTCCTAAGAATGTTAAACATTTCAAATTAGAAAGTATGGGGTTTTGTTCATTTAAAAAAAAAAAAAGCAGAAAACAAAAACTAGAGGCAGCCCTCACTTTTTGTAAATAAAACTAGTCATGGCCACATCTCTATGGAGATGAGTGTTGAGCCCAATTAATCAACAAATGTTCACTGATCTAGGCACTGTGCTGCATGTCATTGGGCTTACAGAGATGGTAATACATGTCCTAGGAAGAGCTAGAACATGCAAACTAATACATAAAACACAAGGTGTTGAGTGCCACAGTGGGGACATGGGAGTGGGTACAAAATGCCTGGAGACCCCAAGTGGGAGGGGTCTTATTGGAAGAGATCACAGCAGCTGGTCCTTGATAAAAGCAGAGGATGTCTATAGCTAAATTGAAAGGCATGATAATTCCAGGCATAAATAAAAATTTGCTTAAGTCACTTGAAAATATGGCTGTCATAAGTTTCAAGAAGGAAATGACCAAAAAATAGAGCAATGGGGGCTGCAGCTGGTCTGATAGGTAAGGGTGGGGGAGAGCATGAAGAACCTTTGAAGCCTCAATGAGTTAGGGAGAATTTATCCTGAGAGCAATGGGGATCCACAGAAGGTTTCCTCCAGTGATGCTCGATAGCCACGTTTACATTTTAAGGTCTACTCTGACAGCTGGTTTTAAGCACAAATTAGAGGGGGAAAGGAACTAAGAGGAAAAAGACCAGTCCCATAGTATGAGGAGGGTTCACCCCTGAGGTCTACATCTTTTCTAGTTTTACTTTTTAAGTGGAAATCAATAGACAACCAAGAGGTCATGACATGTAGGTGGCCACACAGCCCCAACAGGGAGAGATTGGGCAGTTTAGTGCAGAGAGCTCCAAGTAGGACCTGGGAGAAGGATGATGCCAGTGCTCTCTACAGCTGCTTTGCTGTGTGTCCTGTGGTTAGAGCTACTCTTCCCACTGCCCATTTATGTGGAATGCTGAAAGAGGAGGCCATTTGGCATGGCAGAAATAACATGGACTTCCACCCCCAGATTTTAATCTCGGTTTCAGTACTTAATCAGTATGTGCTATTGAGTAATGCATTTCATTGTTCCTTCATGGAGTGACAGGGAGGACGGTAGGGAATGGGGTTTGTGATGTAACCAAACTGGACACAGGATAGGACACTCCCCCTGGAGCGATAGTAACAGAGGCTCCCTCAAATTAGGCGCATGGCTGCCCTTTCCCATGGAAATCCTGGGTAGCCCAAAATCAAACTCATGAGGAAACAGGGGGTGACTTTTGAAGGTATTACATTCGCTGTCTATCTTTTTGGAAACTTGAGAGAGAGAGGCTGGAAGGAGAACAGTGATATTAAATAATCTGCACTTACCAAGCACCTACAATGGACCAGGTGCCTGTGGTGGGTGTCTTTGGACCTCCACCCAAGGGTAGCTCCAGTTCCTACCCACATTCCTACCAGATTGAGCAAAAGGAGTTATTGCAGGTCCTGTGCTTATACCTACAAGAAAATAAGCCCTCTTTTGTGGTTTCTGGACTTGGCACTTTCTCTGGGCTCTGCTGGGTGGGAGCGGGTTTGAAATATGTGAAAACATCAGGAGATGGCAGAAATGGCAGTGCCTGGGAAACCCTGTGCACTGCTGTGGAAGTTAATTGTCATTTGAATATAGGCCTCCCTGAGTCTTGACTTCTGAGTTAGGTCCATTGCTCATAAAGGGTGCTCGTGGAAGAGTGGCTGGGCTACTGGCATTAGATGGTTTGCCCCCAGTTATCTGTAGGAAACCACCGAGAGGGACTCATGAAAGGGAAATGGAGCCTTAGAAGCTCGCCCAGTCTTTTTTCCAGGAAAATATTAAGAATCTGAACACTATTGGTGGCTTACACAAATAGGGCTTTATCTCCCCCTAATTCTTCTTTTTTTTTTCTTTTTCTTTTTCCTCTTCTCTCTGTGCTGCTCAAGAGAAACTGCGCGGTGAGGTGAGGCAGGAAATGGTTTCTTTCAGATCACTCTTCTTTCCTACAGAAGTAGGGAGTTCCCCACAGTTGTGGTTTTCAAATGTTTTTAGGTCTCCAGATGATCTACTCTACCCGTTGTCTTTTACCAGTGCCGCATCCCTGAGTGATGGGATGCAAAGATGAACCAAGCCTGACTGTTGCTGTCAGGAAGGATGCTATCTGCCAGGAATCATAAACGGTTCCAATGTAAAGAGCTCAGTGTATGGCGGCCAGTGCTCAGATCTTAAAAGAGTCAGACTCAGTATGGAGGAAGTCCACATTATTGCTACTTTTTGGGGGTGAAGAAAGGTGAATATTTGGTCATGAATGACTTCCCAAAGTGATAGGTAGCATCTAGACATGGGAGGATAATGGACATTCCAGATCAGGAAAACAATAGCAGGGACATTGACCATGGAACACCTCAGCACATTTGGGGGGTGGGGGAGAATGAATAGAGTTGCATTATCTGACCTCAGTAGAAAGGAGAAAGAAATTAAAAGTATACAGGTGATTACACTCCACTACTATATGTCCTGGAGTAAGCAAGAGAGACAGACTGTGAATCCACTGTGAGTCATAGTTTCTTGGCCCCTGGTGGTAATAGCTGAGAGAACATTATGTGCTATGTGAAAATTTAAAGGATTTTCAGGAAAAAAAAACTAACTCTGTGTGATATTTACCTTATGACCTGTTACTAATGACCCAACCTTAAAAGTAAAATGCATTTTCCATATAATAATAGGATAAATAAGATGGGAAAGGTAGGTTTATTTTATTTATTATTTTAAAAATTTATTGCTAGCCATTTAATTTTTTTTTTGAGAGGCAAAGAGATAGAGAGACAGACAAAAACATAGAGAATGCCCATCTACTGGTTCACTCCACAGGTGCTTGGAAAAGCTAAGCTGGGGTGGGCCAGGCTGAAGCAGGGATGTGAGAACCCAGTCCGGATTGCCCACATCCATCACATGTGGCTTCTCAGGGTCTGAATTATCAGGAAGCCAGAGTAAGGAGCCAAAAAAGGAATGTGGCTCACACACTCTGATGTGAGATGCAGGCACCTTAACCACTAGGTTGAACACCAGACCCGAAAAGATAGTTGTAGATCAGATAGAGAGAATCCTGAGTGCCAAAGGCCATGTTGTGAATCACCACGTTAAAAATGAATGTTCTGTATGGTGTTTCCTTTCTCAGGTCTTCCATCATGTGAGGAAATGACTCTTTTTTCTACCTGTATTTTCCCTGGTCTTTTTGGAACATGAGCTGTAAGACAGAAGAAGTTGAAGAGGGTAGAACCAGGGGCAGAAAGTGGTGAAAGAGTGACATGGCAGGGATGAGACTAGTGGCTGCTCCTGTCTCAGCCTCCACCACCTGTCTTTCCAGAGCTCCCCAGCTCGCTCTAAATGGTTACCAGGTTATCCTGTTTTTGCATCAGATATAGTCATCAGCTACATTTCAGTGAAAACTAAGTGTAAAACTTGTCAAGACAGTTTTATTTATTTATTTGAAAGGCGGAGAGAGAAACAGAGAGATCTTCCATATGCTGGTTCACTCCCCCAGATGGTTACAACAGCAAATACTGGGC